GCGCGCGGTAGTAAGAGGCGCACGAGGGCGCGCGGGCGCACGAGGGCGCACGGTAGTAAGAGGCGCACGAGGGCGCGAGGGCGCACGAGGGCGCACGGTAGGTAGGTAGGTAGGTAGCGGTGGGCCCTAAAACGGTCCTAGTGAAGGACCTGCTCTGATACCATGTCAGAATGAACGGACAGGAATGATTGAACTAACAGTGAAATCAGTACAAGTACCTAACCCTAGAATTGTGTACCCCCTATAGGCTAACCCACTGTAGCCTAAACAAACACAACATATATAATGTTTGACAAGTTGTACTAGCAAAATTGAAAACGTTGCCTAGCAAAAACCTTTTGGTCCCATAGTTGACCATGCCATTAACGAACCTGGGTCTTCCTGGCTCGATTCAAAGTGCGTACCTCAACAGATAGATAGGGTGTTTGTCCTAAGTATGCGTAAGTGGGTAGTGGTTGAGGTTTTAGTGGTGCGAGCTGGGGAGATAAGAGGCCTGTCGGTGGATCTTCTAGGTGCGGCCACTAGCGATACGCGCCAGTGTGTGCTAGAGCTGAATCTTTGGTGTTTCAAGGACTTTGCCAACTCTGAAATTTCAGTCACAAATGCCACTCACTTTGCTAGAGCTAAATCTTTGGTGTTTCATGTACTTAGCGGATTCCTGAAATTTCACTCACAGACGCTATTGGACACATGTCGGTTTAGTTGGTGAAGTTCTGCACAAGGGAAAATTTTGTCGAAAGGCTAGGCAAACGATAGAAACAGGAAAGAGCGTTTTCACTAGCAAGCAGTTGAGTACATATAGCAAACCCTAATTCGGGCTGTACTCGCTATAGAGTACCCCACTGCATGCTAGACAAACATCACATTCTGACACACCCCCATAGTCAAAGTGGGGTATAATCAGCACAGCAAGCAGGCAGAGCAGTAGGTTCACAAATACAAGCAAAGCTAGAGGCTATCACAGAGGGCAAGTGAGGAGGAGGAGGGACTGTGAGAGGAGTGGAGATAGGAGGCGTCGGGTGAAGCCGCAGACACACGGGCAACAGGAACGGCGCGCACGGTGGCTACCGGAGCACTCAACCTCCGGACTACAGGAGTAACTGGCTCCGCGCTAAGCAGCAGCAGGAGCAACGGACCCACGGGCGACTGGCAGCAGCAGGCTCGCTGGGCTACCGGAGTACTCAACCCCCGGACTACTGGCGCTGCTGACGTCACAACGGCTACCTCCGGTCAACCTCCCCCAACTGTCCCACACCCCTTTCACACACCCCCTGCTGTACCTCTAGCACTGCTCACACGCCACCCCCCTAGTACCACTCCGACGGCTCCCACACATCCACCCCCCTCAGCGGCAGCTGCAGCAGTGGGAGACGGAGGAGGAGGAGGAGCAGGGGACGGCGCACACACCCGTCACCCCCATACTCGCCACCCCCACACTCGCCACCCCCAAACCCTAACACAGGCAGCAGCGCGGGCAGCAGCAGGGGACAGCGCGGGCAGCAGCTCGGGGGACGGCGCGCGGGTCGACGGGAGGGGCGCGCCGCCGACGGGGACGGGCGCGCGGGTCGACGGGGGCAGGCGCGCGGCTCCCCAGGGCGTCGCGACGAGGCAGCGGGGGCCGCGCGCGGCTCCCCAGGGCGCCGCGACGGGGCAGCGGGGGGCCGCGCGCGGCTCCCCAGGGCGTCGCGACGGGGCAGCAGGGGCCGCGCGCGGATCCCCAGGGCGCTGCGACGGGGAAGCGGCCCCCCAAGGCGCCACGACGGGGCAGCGGGGGCGACACGCAGGCCTACGCGACGGGCTCCCGGGGGGCGACGCGACCGACGACGGGGGGCGACACGCAGGTCGACGGGGCAGAAAACTACCGCGCGCCCCGAGCGCGCGGCGGGAAGAAAAAAACGCCGCGCGCCCTGAGCGCGCGGCAAGGAGCAAACATCGCGCGCTCAGGGCGTGCAATAGGCAGAACAGCAGTGGAAGCATCGGGTGGGACCACCCACAGGATCGACCCAGGAGGGTCGACCTGCTCTGATAGCATGTCGAAAGGCTAGGGAAACGATAGAAACAGGAAACAGGCAAGCATTTGAGTACATATAGCAAACCCTTATTCGGGCTGTACTCGCTATAGAGTACCCCACTGCAGGCTAGACAAACATCACATTCTGACAAATTTTGGCTGGGCGTCTGCCGTAACGAGCCGGGATATGGCAGTGTGGCACATAAGAGTGAAACAGCATATGCGCGGTTTGTTTTTAGCCCTGCCTGACGATGACAGGGTGGACACCCAGCCAAACCCAATTATAGCAGTGTGGGTCCAAAACTACACCCTGAAATGCAGGGAAAAGTGGGTAAAACGCCATGCGAACTTGGGCCCTGGTTGGAACAATAATGGCAAAATTGACTATATCAGAAGCAAGTCTGGTTGACACACAGGCAGGTCGACCGATAGCGCAGAAAAGTCGGCAGCCTGCCAGTACTGCAAGTCCTGTCAGAATAGTAGTTATAATGAAGGAGCCATAGCTATGGTTTAGCTAGCTAGGCAAGAGAGAATAGGCAAAAGAGGGTTTGAACTAGAAAGGAGGGGGATACAAATAGCAAGCCCAAAAGGGTTATACTCACTATTGAGTACCCCACTACAGACTAGACAAGCATTATATTCTGACACACCCCCATAGTCAAAGTGGGGTATAATCAGCACAGCAAGCAGTCATAGAGCAGGTTCACAAGTTCAAGCTAAGCTAGAGGCAGTCACACAGGGCAAGTGAGGAGGAGGAGTGACTGTGAGAGGAGAAGAGATGTGAGGCGTCTGCTGAAGCTGCAGACACACGGGCCACAGGAGCGGCTGGCTCAGTTGCTACCGGAGCAAGGGCCCCGGACTACAGGAGTAACAGGCTCAGACAGGAGCAACGGACCCACGGGCGACAGGCGCAGCAGGCTCTCTGGGCTACCAGCGGCAAGGGCCCCGGACTACAGGCGCTGCGGACGACAAGACTGCTACCTCCACTCAACCTCCCCCAACTGTCCCACCCCCTTTCACACACCCCTTGCTACACCCCTAGCTTTACTCCCACGTCACCCCCCTAGCACCACTCCGTCCGCTCCCACACACCCACCCCCCTCAGCGACAGCTGCAGCAGTGGGAGACGGAGGAGGAGGAGGGGACGGCGCACACACCCGGCACCCCCATACCCGCCACCCCCACACTCGCCACCCCCAAACCCTAAAACGGGTGGCACGGGGCAGGAGCGCGGGGGACGGCGCGCGGCCCCCAGGGCGCCACCACGGGGCAGCGGGGGGGGGGGGGGGGCGCGGCTCCCCAGGGCGCCGCGACGGGGTAGCAGGGGGTCGCGCGCGGCTCCCCAAGGCGGCGCGACGGGGCTGCGGGGCGACCCGACCGTCGACGGGGCAGCGGGGGGTCGCGCGCGGCTCCCCAGGGCGGCGCGACGGGGTTGCGGGGCGACGCGAGAAGAAGGAAGCCGCCACGCGCCTCGAGGCGCATGGCGGGCAGAAAACCGCCATGCGCCCCGAGCGCGTGGCGGGAAGAAAAAACGTCGCGCGCCACGGGGCCTGCGACAGACAGGAAAGCAGCGAAAGCACGTGGGGCCCATAGGCCAAGAGCGTAACAGCTCTGATTCCATGTCAGAGTAGTACCGTAACCCCCGGATATAAGACCCCCTCCAGTTGTAGACCCCCGGGTCTATAATACGGGGGGGGGGTACTCTATATGAGTCGTTTTAGTTATACCCCCCCTTTTTAGTGCAATCATTATAAGACCCCCCCATCCTTAGGAATAATGTAGCATTTGTCATTTTTTTGTAATGAAATCGAAGCAATTTTGGAGAGAGACGTAAATTTCTTCCCTTCCAATGATTGCGCGTGAATAACGCGCAGTCAACGTGGTCAAATTGTGCCCTTTTCGCCACTGCCAATGTGGTGATTTCAGTGGCGAGAGTGATGCCACCTGGCAAAAACCCGAGGGTGGGGACATTCGCGCCCGCATCCATATTCAATGCTGAGATGCAAAGTGCAACTGACACAAACATATACAGCAGACATGAATCTGTTCTATACATTCTTAAAAAAATCCATGTATTAAGACCCGGGTCTTATACAACATGTGACATATGTGTAGACCCCCCCTTTTTTTTTTTGTGTGATTATGTTAAGACCCCCGGGTCTTATATCCGGGGGTTTACGGTAGTTATAATGAAGGAGCCATAGCTATGGTTTAGCTAGCTAGGCAAGAGAGAATAGGCAAAAGAGGGTTTGAACTAGAAAGGAGTGGGATACAAATAGCAAGCCCAAAAGGGTTATACTCACTATTGAGTACCCCACTACAGACTAGACAAGCATTATATTCTGACAAGTCCGCACCACTCCAGCGATGCATAGTGGCGGCTAGCCAACGTAGTAAGTCGACGGCTTGCCAACACTACAACAATGTGGCTGTCTAGCGTTGCATCTGTAGGTGACAGCAGCGAACACGCGCGCACCTACTTCGCAGGTGCTTGTAGACGGTTGGTGCGACATGCACTGTCACATACATGGCGCAGATGCCAAGTTTGCTACATGCCGTTGACTGTGCCTGATGAGTCACGTCAACCTTGGAATACCACTCCGAGCTCGGCTTCGCCAAAACCTCCTAGGCTACGGACGCGCACACCGGTCGCCCCGATCACGAAACCACCAAGTCGTCACCAACTTGAGCGGTGGAAATTGACCGATCGTATCGTCACAGCTTCGTTACCGTATTTGTGAAGCCCCATAAATGTTACAATTTGCATGTTTCCCTTCTTTCCCGACAGCTTTTGGATGCCGCAGACTGCTTTCTCGGACTAGTGGATCACATCACAACTCCGATGGCAGAATTGACACATGACCAAAAGGGAATATAGGAATCTCGGGTTTAACAACAAAGCGGAAATACCTAATAAATAAGATTCCAATAAGAGCACAATCCAAAGCCTCCCTAGGCACTCTACCCCACCCCATCTCCCAACCAACCCCTACTTGCCTTTCCTCCCAATCTTCCTGCTTCTCGGAGGCCCAACACACAGCAGGTAGCGCATCTGAACCTGCGCCTCACGATACACCACATACTCGTTCCTCTCCACACACGAGGTAAAGCCCTTTTCTGGCGGAGTAATAAACCTGCACACACGAGCATACTCCTCCGGCCGCGCTGCCTTGTTTGCCTGCATCTCCCTTTGGCTGATGATGGGCCCTGCAGGGATGCAGCAACCATCAGGGGTCCAGAGGCACTGGGAGAGGTCGGGGGTGGTTCTCCCAATGGCAAACGTAGAGTGGGACCCTGGCAGTGGCTCCTCCATGTAAGTCGCCTCTGACACGGCCTGCGATTGCCCCAGCGCCACCTCACACAGCAGCAGGCACCGCGTCTGCTTCATAGCTTGCCCACTCCCCACCCCCTCCCCGTCCTCCTCCCCGTCCTCCTCCTCCTCTCCAGCCTCCTCCTCGGAATGATAGCCGCTCCTCCAGTGGCCATGCTGCCTGAGGTTGTGCTGAGCAGCCGTATCACAGTACCCCAGGGACTTCTGGAACTGGTCCGCAAAGTAGATGCCCTTGCCAAAGGCATACCCTGTCACGTCCGCCTCGGGAGGAGCCACGCGCAGCCCGCCGCTCAGCAGCCCGCAGAAATTAGCCACAGACGACCCGTGGAACAGCAGCTGCCGGTGCGCACGCACGTCCTCAAGCAGCGCGTCAAACCGCTCCCTCTCGCCCGCCCGCCGCACCGCAAACACATCGTACACCTCGATCTCCTCCCGGCGTGCCGACGCCGACCGGTACACATACCGCGCGAGCACGCGCCACAGCTGGCTCTGCGGGTCCAGCCGTCTCATATCCGTCCCCAACCCCAGGTAGCAGTAGTCCAACGGATGCACGGCTGCTCGCCGTCTGGCTGCTGCCTCCGACAGCTGGCGGCGCGCGCCGATGAGCATCTTGAGTGCGAGCTGGAGTTCTCCCAGGCTGGAGAGGAGGGCCTGGAGAGAGAGCAGGTCCTGGCGGGAGGTGATGGAGTGGATGCGCGAGCGCGTGTGCTGCGGGGACGGCACGAGCTGGTAGAACTCGTTGCTGTGCTGCACGAGTTGCTCGCTGATGCCCCGCCGCTCCTCCTGCGCTGCCCATATCTCCTCTGCGATGCGCTCCCGCGCCAGCTGCTTGCTGCTGCTGCTTATGCCGCCCTTGCCCTCCTTGCTCACCCCTGCCACCAGCGCGGTCGCGTTCCCGCCGCCCTCTCCCCCACCTCCCCCCCCTTCACCTCCCTCACCTCCCTCCACCTCCATCTGCCCGTCCCCCCCTTCCTTATCTCCATCCACTCCCTGCCAACTGCCATCCTCGGCCTCCCCCACGCGGCGCCTCTTGGCTCGCTTCCTCGCTGCGCCACCCACAGACCCATCCTCAGAGCCCTCCTCCACTCCACCCTCCACTGCCCCATGCTCCTCGTCCCCCTCCTCCCCGTCCTCCTCAAACATCATCTGCTGCTGCTTCGCCACCAGCAAATCCACAATCTTCCCCGCAGCCTCGTACTTAGGGACCAGAGCACCCATCTGCTCCAGCACTGCGCGCCCTTTCTCCAGTGCCTCATCGGTCAAGTCCCCGAACGCCAGGTAAGTGTCCACTGCACCCAGGCGCCGCGCCTGCGCTCGCAGCGCTGACACGTCACAAATGACCCGGATGAAGTTCTGGATGGCCTTGGGTAGGCGGCTAGGCTCTGCTGCTGCAGGGGGTGCTGCTGCTGAATGGCTTTCGTTTTCAGCAGCAGCAGCAGCAGCAGCACCAGCCTTCGGTTTGCGCTCCCTCTCCCGCTCCTCCTCTCTTTTTCGATCCGCCGTGCATGTCAATCAGCTGGGTCAGAGGCAGCACCAGCTCAACCTCCTCATCCACATGGCCCTTGGGAATCTTCCTCGACTCGCCTTCCCCGTCGCCATCGCCTCCTGCATTTCCATCGCCCTTCCCCGCCTTCTTCTTGCTCTTAGGCCGGGCGCGCACGGGAGTATATTTCCCCACCTTAGGCTGGAACTCCCCGCGACTCAAACTCTGCCAGTCGTTTCCAGACTTAGCTTTGAAGATCTTCTCAAACTCTTTCACTGCTTCCTCTCTTGACGCCATGGGCGTCTGCTGGTGCTCCCCCTCGTCCCCCACGCGGCCCCACCGGTTGAACAGGATGTAAAGGTCCTGTGCGGTGCTGTGCAGTACCTGCATCTTGTAGAAGTTGTGGAAACCATACCGCCCGTACTCCACATCGGTCCGCGTCATCAGCACCGAATAGTCTCCTCCTCCTCCTCCGCTTGCTCCTCCACCACCGCTGCCACCACCACCACCACCATCACCACCACCATCACCGCCGTCACCACCATCACCAGCTGCAGGTCGCGGCTCTTCCCGCAGCACAACACACGTGGCACGCAGGTCCCCTGCATGCTCGTCCACCTCCGCGCCACACGCCTGTGCTGCCGCCTCCATCTTGGAATCCCACTCCACGCGCATCACCCTCGCATCTGCTGCCACGTCCACCACCCGCCCCTCCCGCACCCCCGCACTGCCCTCCGTCAGCCACCGCCCTGCTGCCTCCGCGGCTTTCCGCGCGTCCGCTCGGCCTGCTGCTATCTCTGCCTCGAACTCCCCCCCCAGCTCACCGCCATCGGTCGTCGCCACAGCGCCTGCAGCACCTGCTGTATCCTCCCCTGCCGCATTACCTGCCGCATTACCTGCCGCATTACCTGCCGCATTACCTGCCGCATTACCTGCCGCATTACCTGCCGCATTACCTGCCGCATTACCTGCCGCATTACCTGCCGCATTACCTGCCGCATTACCTGCCGCATTACCTGCCGCATTACCTGCCGCATTACCTGCCGCATTACCTGCTGCATTACCTGCTGCATTACCTGCTGCATTACCTGCTGCATCGCCTGCCGCATTGTCTGCCGCATTGTCTGCTGCGTCGCCTCCTTTCATGAGCGCCTTGATAGCATCCAGCATCACCCCTGACGACTGAGCAGCTGCATCGTACCACACCGTGTGTTCCCCACCGTCCTTCGTTTCCCACCGGAACGCCACGGGCCTCGCATCATCCCCCGCACCATCCGCAGCCCCCTTCTCCCCTTGCACCACCAGATGATGCAGCACCTTCAGCAGGTGAGCGTTCTCATACGACGGCTCAAACGGGCCAAAAGTAGCCACTGCTGCATGGTATGCCGACCGCGCAAGGGGCGGCGGAGCCAGGTTCAGATCCACACCTACACGGCGGATCACCATGCCAGCTGGCACCGTCATCCTGCACAGCGCTGAGCTGGCAGCCTCCTCCTCGCGCGTCAGCACCGGGGGGGTCCATTTCGCCCCCATGAGCACGGTGATCATGCGGAGGTCGTTGCTCCTCACCGCGTGTGTGAGCGCCGTTGCACCGGTGGCGTCCCACTGGTTGGGGTTGGCTCCAAAGCGCAGCAACAGTTCTACTAGTCGGTGGTCCCGGCGCCGCACGGCAGTCATTATGGCCGGCAGGGTGCACACCTTGCGCAGCGCCTGCGCCTCCGGCAGCACCTCAGCGCGCAGTGCTGCCCGCACCGTCTGCTGCACCACGCCGCCGCTGCCGCTGCCGCCGACACCACCACCACCAGCGATGTCCGGCCCACCGCCACTGTGAGTGGCAAGGGCGGTCAGGTCAGGAGACAGCTTTGCCTGGCGCCCCAAGTTCGGATCAGCCCCCGCGCATAGCAGCCGGTACACATCCGGTAGCAGCACATCACCACCAGCACCAGCACCAGCACCAGCACCATTCCCCCCTCCCTTCCTGTGCAACACCGCACAGCCTAGCACGCGGTGCAGGGGAGCAGAGCCCACGGCGTCGCACGCGTTCACAAGAGCGGGGTCTCCCCTTGGCAGCAGCCACTGGACAAGCGGTGTGACGGCGCCCGCACACGCCAGGTGCAGCGGCGTCTGCCCCAGCACGTCCCTCGTGCACAGCAGCGCGCGGATCGGATTCACATTCACATTCACATTCACATTCTCCCCCGCCGGCCCGGTGACTCCCGGTCCCGACAGCGCGGCCTCAATGACTTGCAGAATGGTGAGCAGCCAGTTCAGGCAGAAGGAAGACTGGTGGTGCACGCGGGCCAGCTGGTGGAACACTGTTCTCCCAGACACGGGTTGTAGCGCTTGCAGCGCGGCGGGGGGCGCGCGGCGCAGGAGGGTGAGCAGCAGGGAAAAGTGGCTGCTGGCGAGGCAGTCGTGGGTGGCAGTGAGGAGGTCCACCCCGCGGTCGAGCATGAGATAAGCGAGCCCGTTCCACCCCTTGTCTAGAACAACACGGAAGGTTGAGGTCTTGTATGCGTCCTTGGCCCGTGCTATCTCCACCCGCGCTTGCTCCACCTGCTGCTGCTCCGAGCCTGCTCCTCCGGTCTTCTTCTCCCCCTCCCCCTCCCCCTCTGCCTCTCCCTCACCTCCCTCCCGCTTCGCATCTGCCATGGTTGTATCTTCCTCCCCTGCCTTGCCTGCTCCCTCTCCCCCCTCGTTGCTCTCCTGCCCGTCCCCGCTCCCACCCTCCTCCCACTCCTCCCACACCTCCGCCGCCATCCGCACTCCCCCCGCCTTTCGCTCCTCCTCTTGCTCCTCCACCTCCTCCTCCTCCCCGTCACTCTCCCCCTCCCTCCCGTCCCCCGCACCACCCACCCCAACCAACCTCCTCTCCCTTTTCTCCACCCGCGCAACCCTCTTAAGCAGCTTACCGGGAAACTTCCGATAGTTGGTAGCAGGAAGGTGAATATCCACTCCAGCATGGTCCAGCAGGTTGATACACACAGGCAGCTGTGCAGCAAGCAGAGCCAGCTGAAACACCCCGTTGTCGTCCTCATCTGTGCGTGTCAGCGCCGCCCCCCGCCGCACGAGGAAGTTGGTGCAGATCTGCGCGCCCGCCTCACACGCGTACATCAGCGGGGTGCGTCCGAACCGGTCCGCTGCATCAATCACAGCCTCCACTCCTCCTCCCCCTCCCCCTCCGCTTGCCAACCCTGGCGTCGAACCAGCAGCACCGGCGGCAGCGGCAGCAACGGCGGCAGTGACGGCAGCACAGAGCATGCTGAGCAGCTCGATCGGCTCTTCTCCTGCAGCCCGGTGCGACCCGCCTCCCGCTGCCTCCACGTGCCGCTCCCCCAGCCGCACAAACGCGAGGTGCACCACGTTGCGCCCGTCCTCGTCCCGCGCTGCCACGTCAGCGCCGGCGTCGAGAAGAGCCTTCTCCACCTCGAAGGCCTCGCTGAGAATGCCCGCCCTGCCGGCCGTGACAGCCGACGCCTGCACCGCAAACATGAGCGGCGTGCGCTTCTTGCTGTCGCACGTGCGCACCTGCTGCCGCTGCTGCTGCTGTTGGTGGTTGTGGTGGTGCTGCTGCTGCTCTGGTTGCTGCTGTGGCCCGTTTGCTGCAAGCAGTGCGCGCACCACTCTGACCTCCACCTGCCGACCACCACCACCCGCCTGCTGCAGGTGACAAGCAAGGGCAGTGGAGCCTTTGGCAGTGCAGCGCAGCGGATCCATCCCCTTCTGCTGCAGCAGCCACGACAGCAGCCACAGCGCGTTTCCCCCCGCGCGAGCAGTGAGGTGCAGAGCGGTGAAGCCCAGGCTAGGCTGTGCTCTGGCGGAGATGATGGGGATGACTGCTGGGTCCACGTTCCCCCAGGTTCGCAGGCGCGGGGCGGCCTTGCTTGCGTTGATGTCCTGCTGGCAGAGTTGCAGGAAGCGAGAGAGGAAGAGCAGGAAGGCCTCTCGGGTGAGCTGGTACTGCTTGGCTGGTTTCTTTTTGGAGGGGCCTTCGGAGGAAGATGAAGAGGAAGGGGAAGGGAGAGGCGACGGGGAAGGAGAGGTGGAGGGGGCATAGGAAGAGGAATCGCTGCTCTTTTCACCATCGCTCCCCTCTCCGTCCTCATCTTCCTCTTCCTCTTCTCCTTCTCCTGCCTCCTCTACCACAGCCTCTTTTTCGCCCTTTCCCACATGCCTATCGCCATGTGCACCCGCGTCCTTGTCAGAGGGAAGGTTGAGCTGCAGGGCTCTCTCGATAATAGACAGGAACGCCACGTCCCCCTCCTGGTTCGCCTTGCACGCCAGCTCTGCCAGCAACGGCCGCCACTGCTGCTGCTGCTGCTGCTGCTGCGCCTCCTCCCCGCCCTCCTGCTGCTGCCGCTGCTGCTGCTGCCCGGCCTTGTGCTTGTGCTTCTGCTCGCCAGCAGCAGCCAGCAGCTCCAGCAGCGGCAGGGGGTCACGAGCACCCATCACCACGGCCAGCACGTGCAGAGCCGATCCGTCCTCCTCACACCCCGCATCCACAGGCGCCCCCGCCGTCAGCAGCCTCCGAATGCAGCGGTCGCGCACAGGCGCAGGCAGACCGGCGGCACTGGTATTAGCCATGAGGAGTGAGACGAGCGATCTCTGTACCTCCACGCTCTCCCCTTCCACGCGTAGCACCACGTGTCCCTGCACTCGCCCCACGCTCTCCTCCTGCTCCGCTTTGCTCAGTGCCTTGTCTCGCAGTGCCTCCTTGACCTCGGTGCTCCTCACGATGTAACGCACGGTTCTGCGCACGCGGGCCACTGCGTGCGCGTGCGCGTCAGCACCCGCCTTGAGCAGCAGATCCACACACTCCACGAAATCCCTCTGCGCTGCACCCTGAGAGGACTGCCCCGCTTTGTTCAGAGGCGTCTCAGGCGTCTCAGGAATCGCAACCGCGAGCGCGCCCTGCTGGCTCCCCGCCTGCGCCTCTCCCATCCCTGTGCCCCCTGCACCGCCAGCTTCCCCCTCACCCTCCCCCGCACCAGCCTCCCCTACAGCTCCTCCCCCAGGCGCGGCTTCCCCCTGCGCGGCACGGCGGAAGGGGTTCGAGCCTTTAAGCTCGGGATACTCCTGGTCCCTCATCCTGCGCGCCTGCTTCACATAGCGCTCCGCTGCGCTGTGGGGGTTCTGGAGGGCGCGCGTGACTGCGGCAGCGAGGGGTGTCACACCCGCCTTGTTGCGCAGGTTGAGCGCGACATGTGCCCGCACATCCGGCTGTAGCAGCAGCCGCAGGAGAGATGCCGGCTCGCACGCCCGCAGCGCCAGGTGTAATGCCGAGTCACCCTCCTCCTTCGTCTGCGCGTTCACCCACCCCCAGTCAAACCCCGCCTCTCCCTCCTCCACCAACCCTGCCGCCGCTTCCGCTTCGGCCGTCACCGCGCGATCCACAGCAGCGCGCAGCAGCAGTGCCACAGCAGCCCGCTGCCTTGGACAAAACACCCCCCACCGGCGGTAATACTCGTCCACTGATTTCTGCACCTCCTTATCCACCTGCTCCACGGGTTTCCGCCCCCACCACCCGCGGTAACCGTTAGCAAGATCGTTCTCAGTGAACTGGGGTGCCTCGCAGCGCAGCGCGGCCAGCAGAGGGGTGACGCCGTGGCGATCGCGGTGGGTGAGGGCGGCGCGGCAGGTGGGGCTGCGGAGCAGCGCGCGCAGCACGCGCACGTTGAGCTGCTCCGCGGCCAGCTGTAGCGCCGTGCGCCCCTCGCCGTCCTCCGCGTCCACATCCGCGCCGCGCGCGGAGAGAATGGCTACAGTGATGCGCGCGTCCAGGCGGGAGATGGGGCGGAGCGATGCAAAGAGGTGCAGAGCGGTTTGGCCGTCGCGGGCGTCTTTGGTTGCAGCGGAAATGGCGTGGGAGACGAGGAAGGTGACCTGGGAGAGGCACAGGGTGGGGTCCGCCTGTTTGAGAGTCACAGCATGGTGCAGCAGAGACTTGCCGTCGCTGTCCACTGCGTTCACTGCTCCGCTCGGCACAGCAGTAGCAGCAGCAGCAGCAGCAGCAGCGGAGGGGGAGGAGGGAGCCGCTTGGCTCGCTTTCTCTCCCCCTTCTCCCCCTTCCCCCTTTTCGCCTCCCTCGGTATCCATTTGCTCGTCAGCATCACCCGCCAGCAGCAGCGGCACAGGCGCAGCAGGAAGGGCTGCAGGCTGCTGCTGCTGCTGCTGTTCCGCCGCAGCAGCAGCAGCAGAGGGGGAGGAGAGGAGAGCCGTGGCGATACCCATGTGCCCTTTGAGCACAGCCAGAAACAGCCCCGACAGCTTCCACATGTTGAGCCGGTCACGGTCCGCACCCGCGGCTAGGAGGAGTTCTAGCGCGCCCCTGCACCCGTACGCGCACGCGTAGTGCAGCGCCGTGTTGCTGCTCGAGTCCGCGCTGTCGGGGGGGACTCCCCGGCGCAGGAGCGCGCGCAGCACGGAAAACTGCGAGTTGCGCGCGGCGACGACCAGCGCGTTGCGCCCGAGCTTGTCGGGAGTCAGCAGCAGCTTCACCACGCGCGCCTCCTCGTCTCCTCTCCCATCACCCCCTGCCGCAACCACCAAGAGAACCCTCTCCACCGCCTCCTCTAGCCCCAGCGCAGCGAGAATATGCAGCGTGGTGAGCTTCTTATCTTTGGAGGGAACCAGAGGGTCTCCTCCTCCGCGTATGAGAAGCTCTATGATTTCTGCGGCGACGGTGGGAGGCATGTAGAGACACTCCCAGGCTGTGAGGTGCATGAGAGTCTGTGGCGTGCGCTTGTCCAGGGGAGAGTTGAGGACTAGGTCTGCGACGCTCACGGGTGCTCCCGCCTTGCCTCTCCTCGCTTTTCCCCTGCTTGCCTCCTCCGCGTCTTCCTCCTCCTCGTCCGCCGCAGCAGCAGCGCCGCTGTCGCCCCCTGCGGCTGGCAAGGCTGGTTTCGGCAGCAGCAGGCGCGCGGTGTGCGGGCGCCCGAACGCGAGCGCGCGGCGGAGCGGCGTGTGCCCCTGGCGGTCCTTCTCGCTCGCGCTCACCCCCTGGCTGACCAGCCACTCCAGGCAAGCCGCGCTGCCCGCCGCCACCGCCGCGAAGTGGATGGGTTTCCGCCCCTTGCCGTCCGCCACATGTAGCGCCAGCGGCCCCGCGCGCGCCACTAGCTGCTTCAGCGCGCGCGCGTCCGGCTGTAGCGCCGCGAGGTGCACGGGGGTCACCTGCTGGTTCCCCCACCCCGCGTGCTTCAGCACGGATATCCCGCGCACGTCCGCGGGAAGCTTCCCGTCCGCGGGACCCACGGCGAACTCGTGAACCGCGTTGAATCCGTAGCTAGAGTCCCCCGTTCCGTCCGCGCCGCGGCACAGCTTCAGCAGGTGCGCCGCCGCGGGGAGATTCCCCGCCTCCGCGGCTTCGTAGACCAACCCGCTCCCCGCGAGCTCCAGGCAGGTCGCGATGCGCGACGGCACGGGGTGCGCGGGGTCGCGCGGCTTGAGATACCCTTCCGCGGAGGGGTCGGGGGTAGCCGCCATCATCTGCAGCGCGGCGACGGACGAGCGCTGCGCGGCGAAGGAGAAGTAGTCGCGGAAGGAGTCGGCGCGCGGGAGCGGGTCGCTGAGGAAGGCGTTGTTGCCCTCCTTGCCGCCGCGGCTGGCCTCGAGCTGACGCGTGGCGGACCCCAGCATGTAGAACGACTTGGTGCCCGTGCCGATGCTCGCCAGGGACGACAGCGGCAGGCGCGCGCGCGCGGTTACCACGCGGTTCTCCTCCGCCTTCTCCGCCTTCTCCGGCTTCTGTGCTTTCTCTGCTGCGCTTGGCTTGTCCTTTGCTGCCGCGTGCTTCTCGCCGGACTGATCCTTGGTCGTCTGCGTGTCGCCCTTCCCTTTCCCCTTCCTCCCCCTGCCCTGCTTCTTGCGCCTCGTTCCCCCCGGTGCCTCATCCTCTTCCTCTTCCTCTTCCCCCTCCTCCTCCCCATCCACCTCCATATCCGCGTCTCCGTCCTGTTCCACCCCCCCCGCGTCCGCAGCCGCCTCCGTCCCCTCCCCCTCCTCCCCCGCCTCCTCCCCCGTCCCCTCATCCTCATCATCGCTCACCACCGCTTCTTCCCCCGCGCCTCCCCCGCCCGATCCCCCCAGCAGCCCGTTCGCCTCCTGCCTATCGCGGTCCAGTAGAAGCATGCGCGCCAGCCGCACCTCCCCCGCCAGCAGCGCCGCGCGCAGCGGGTCCACGTGGCACTCCGCGGACCACTCCAGGTGCGGGTCCGCCACTTTCGCGCGCGCGGAGCGCGCCAGCACGGCCGCCAGCAGCGCCGCGCTGCGCGTGCGCACCGCGCGGAACGCCTCGCGGCTCGCGCAGCGCGTGCAGCAGGAGGTATCGACAGAGGCGGGGTGCGCATGCGCCATGGGGTCGCGCACGGCGTTCAATGCGCGGAGGTGCTGCGCGGATACATCCACTAGCTTCATCTTCCCGCGCCCGAGAAACTTCTTCTCCGCTTTCGCCGCCTTCGCCGCCTTGACCAATTTCACCGCTCGCCCTGCCTTGACCTTCACTCCTCCCCTGACCCTCACCAGCGCGCCAGCACCTCCCCCCGCTCGACCGCGCGCTCGCTTCCTTCCCTTGCCCGGCTTCCCGCCATCCTCGTCCTCCTCCGCGTCTTCCCCGTCCTCTTCCTCCTCGTCTTCCCCCTCCCCCTCCTCGTCGGCGTCCCCCTCCTCCTCGTCCGACGAGTCCCCGGATCGACCTGCCCTGCGCGCGGCGGGCGAGCGCCACTCCGCCACTTGGTAGAAGGCGGGAGACTTGTGCGCGCGCAGGCTCCTCCGCCGCCCGCCACTTTCTCCCACCGCTGTCACCACTTCCGCCACTTCCGCGACCTCCGCCACTTCCGCCACTTCCGCCTCTTCCGCCTCTTCCGCCTCTTCCGCCACTTCCGCCACCTCCTCCACCTCCTCCTCGGTCTCCTCCGCCAGAGCCTCGCGCCTCGCTCGCTTCCTTGGCTCCGATTTTGGCGCCGCCTTCGCCGCCGCAGGCGTGGCGGCTTTGCGCATCGCCCGAGCCTTCCCTGCAGATGCGCGCGCGCCATTGGCCTGAGCGGCCTGCCGGCGAGCCCCGGACCTTCTGGCGGGGGTCGCCTTGGCTTTGGCCGCCTTGACTGGGGTCTCTTTTCCCGTGGTCGACTTGCCTGGTGTGGCTTTGGTCGGAAGCTTCTTCGCGGGAGTCCGGGGTGTCTTGGCGGGAGTCTTTCCCGCCCCCGCCCTCGTCCTTCCCGCGCTGCGCGCTGCTAACGCCGCGGCGGCTTTCCGCAGACCGGAGCGACTCGCCGCGGAGGCTTTCAGGGGGACGGAGCGGCGGACCGCCCTGAGCTTGCTCGCTGCTGCCGCGGATGCCGCAGCGCGCCTTTGTTGCGACGGACGCGGCCTCGCCATGCTTGCGACGGCACCGCCGAGTCTTCTTTTCTCTGCAACGCCGAGTCTTCTTTCCTCTGCACCGCCGAGTATTCTTCTCTCTGCACTGCCGGCTGCACTGGCTGCGTGGACAGTAGCGGTGTGGGGCTTCGCAGACAGCGACGACGGCGGCTGCACCGCGCCGCTTCCTTTGACCACTGGGCAAAACGGGTGTTAACAAGCGATGGCGGATCGACGGGCCGCAAATGGTGGCGGCTGCAGCGGCGACGGCGTGCTATGTGGGGTGTTGTTGGATGGGCCGCGCAAAGGAATGCGGGGAGGGAAATGAGGGCAGGAGAACACGGGGAGGGAAAAGCGGGCAGGGGATTGCTGGCTTGAGCAGGGAAACGTGGCGGGGAGTGAGTGGCTGGGAAAATGAAGCGAAGTGCAAGGGGCCGAGAAATGGGTTGGAGGGCACAGCGAAATGTGAGAGAGCGGAGGCTATGAGGTTGCGACGAGATGCTGGGACAGGAGCTAAGGGAAGGGTGTGCGGCGGGTTTGGCGGGCGAGATTCCACGCAGTCAAGGGTCCCTCCAGGCTAGAAAAGGAGCCTGGAGGGTGGGAGTAGGAGACGGGAGCGGACTAGATGTTTGCTTGGGCTGAAGCAGCTGATGGTGGACATGGCTTGCAAAGCTGATCTAAAAATGTGAAATTCCGAGGTTGAACATTGCAAGGCAATCCAAGAAGTAGAAAAGAAATTGCTGCCACTGCATTGCATCCCTCGCCTTGCCCAGCGGCCCGTATTCACGGCAGGGCCCAGAACTTCCATGTTACGCTCAAACCGCACAGTAACGTTATGTAGTGCTTATCGACCTCGTTAGACCCTTTGCAAAAGAGTTGTGGAGGAACTTCCCTGACAGCATCCCGCGGAATGCGTCACCAAAACGTAGAAATCGGGGGAGGCGGGAAAAATAATGGGAAAGAGTCAACAACACGGTTTACTGCGGTGAAGGGCTATAACCAATTTTTACCGAGAGAAACCCCTTTCAAAATTTCGAAATGAGCACTGCATCAATACTGTACTGTACCTTGGAGGGGAAATGAAACCCGCCTTTCATTGGTGGTGGTGGCTCTACTGGGCAGTCCTATGGGATGGATGCGATGTGGCTTGATCCGTTGGTGTCTGGTAGCGTAGGCTAATTTGATCCTCCTGTGTGACGAGGTGCCCGTCAAAGACGGCAAAGTCAGGGCAGGAGACCCAGCCGGAAGATTCCAGTCCAGGGCAAGCGTTTCTGACTGCTTGAGGTCTGTTTCAATCAGCAATAGCTGACTCTGCAAATTT